GCGATGGCCTCCAACCTTATGTACAGCAATGGCCTCCAACCTAACAATGGCCTCCAACCTAATAGCAATGGCCTCCAGCCAAATAACAATGGCCTCCAACCTAATAGCGATGGCTCCAACCTAATAGCGATGGCCTCCAACCTAACAATGGCCTCCAACCCAATAGCTGTTGCCTCCAACCTAATAGCGATGGCCTCCATTCTACTAGCGATGGCCTCTAACCTAGTAGCGATGGCCTCCAACCTACTAGCCCTGCAAAGCCTGCATAGAAATGTAAATCCCATGCGTACCTGCGACATTGCTTTTGCTCTTGAGCTCTTCCCTTCTCTTACTGGCTTCGAGCTATAGAGCTGCAGGTGCAGTTTGGTTAGCAGATTTGAACTCCTACCTTCCCCAAACGTTCCCGCATCCACGATGTCCGGATACTGCAAACCAAGAAAGCTGCAAGCTGCAAGCTGCAAGCATATCTTTTCAATCTCTCATCGACATAGGTATGCAATTGCCGCAGCAAGTATGATATTCTGAGATTCAGAATCAAAACATTGAATACAAAGGCTGCCTTGCAAGTCAAGTGCCAAGACAAGTCAGGCAAAGTCGCGCAAGCGGAGCGGCCTCACTTTGTCTCACAGCTCAGTCACCTGGAAATGCCCAAGAGGCCAGGTTCTGTGCGTGAAGGATGTGACGTATCCGCGTCCGCCACAAACTTGTCCTCTGCACGTTCGTGAGCCTTGTTGTGACAGGGATGGTGGTGCCAAGTCTGCTAACCCAGGCGTTTGCAGTTGTCACACAGACCAGAGAGCATTGTAGTCTGAGTAGCAATGATAGTCTCTGCCTTGGGCCACCGCAAAGTGCCGCGCGATGGTACGGCTTTTCAATGACCAGCTTGTGTAGCCTGTTTTCAGAGCTATCTGGCAAGAGTTTGCAATGGACAAGCATCTCAGTCTCGCTGCAAGGTACAAAATATCCTCCTTGATGATATGTGTTGAGCCTGAGTTGTGGTACAATGTAAAAAGATCACTGGCAAGGAGGCCAGAATCCCACGTTTCACCAGATTCTCGAAGGCCCTTGAGCAGGGCAGCGGACACGGCTTGAGGTACCCCGGCTTCAAGAAGCAAGCGCTGGTCCAACGCTGTATCAAATTCACCCAAGCGACAAAACAACCCAGTGCCAGAGGCGAGCAAGTCATTGTTTAGCTCCAAGCATGCCTTCAAGAACCTAGGACCATGCTCTTCTCCATCATCCTCGCCTACTTGGAGGTGGAGCATTTCGTGAAGCAGAGTTCCACAAAGGTCTCCGCAGCATGTGTGAACAGACGGGTCCAAGACAATACGGTTTGTGCTCACATGCGCCCCACCAGCACCACCACGAGAATGCCAGGTTTCATCTATTGTGATGTTGGCTGCTTCAAGTCTTCCTTTGAAAAAGTCCTTGTTCGCTACCTCGAAGATATTCAATGACCAAGACAAAAGAGCCAAACGAGATAGTCCCTCCAAAGGCCTATGAAGCATGTCTGTGGAACACTCCTCCTTCAGCCCGTGATGACATGTGCGTAAACCACGCACACACTGATTGCCGGAGTGTCGGCGTGATGTTGCTATGCTGTTCAACTTGGTGAGGCTAGTCAGTCCTAACACCAGCCCGCTGCCAATGCATCCATTCAGGGCTGAAAACCCTTGGTGCTTGGGTCTTTGGGGAATTGAATTTGGCGGAAAGCATTCAAAAGCCGCGACCGGCTGTCGACACCCACGCGACGCAGCAAAAGTCCAACTTTGGGTTTCCATCTCCTAAACCACTCCTACACTCTCCTGAGCAAAACTTCAAGACATGCAGGAATGAGCGAAAGGTGGCCAGAAGGCTGAGGGCATCAGTACTAACTTGAGGCCGAGGGTAGGTGACGAAAGCTAGCAGGGGTGCATCCGGACTGGTGGGACATCAAGCGGAGTGAGGCAAATGCTCATGAGGTAAAACGTTGTGAACATGTAAGACACACAAACAGCAATGACACAGCCAACCTTAGAATTGAAGTCCCCGATAATTAAGGAAGCGTGGCTGGACTTTGCCACACTGTTCGATGCATCCGATGTGTTCACGAACCTGTGAGCTTGTTGAATCTGTTGCACCAACTCCCAAACCCTCCACGGAGGAGTTGAACCAGTGTGGATGCCATAAGAGGTGCCCAAGAGGTGTCCCAAAGGCAAAACAAAGCTGCTTGCATGATTTGTTTGGTTTCTTCTATCGATGTCGATGTCATGAACATGTGAGCTTGTTGAATCTGTTGCACCGTATCCCGGAGGAGTTAAGCCAAAGTGGATGAAGTTTTCACGTGATGCGGCGATCCCGAGGATTCCAGCCCCTCACTTGCTAAAGCAAGGACAACTCCAGCTAGCTGGTGCTAGCTTTCGTGATTAGTGGGTTGAAAGTGGAAAAACAGGATAAGAACAAACATGGACCATGGATGAGAGCGAGGAAGAAGGGGACCATCTTTCTTATTTCATTTTGCAAGGGCCACTGAACTGAGTCATCCCAGGCATACGTTCCAGTCTGCACGCCTGAGAACGTCAACATGATAATCATAATAAAAACATATAAAAACTGACAGTCAGGGCTCTGAGTTGTGCCTGAAAGAAAAACCTAGCTTATCCCTAATTGCATCATGGAAAAGAACAGTGATGGTTGGCTGGCCCATCGAAATTAGCACAAACCTTTTGCATTGAGGGCCTTCGGACCTTCAAAGCAACAAGGCCGTTCCTTTTCTGAAGCCTCATTGACTTCTGCCACTGCTCTTGCAGCGATTTCAGTTTGTATCACCAAGTGACCAGGACCAGGTCTTCTGCCCAAAGAAGAGACCCTGACACTTTCCGCAGAGCTTGCGCTGAGAGAACAATCTCCGTTGCGCACCGACCTCCAGAATCTTTTGGAAGTGACATTCCCAACAGCTATTTTCTCAAAGTCGGCTTCGGGGCGACGGCATCATCAGCAGCCGATTCCTTTCTTGGTGCATGGACCAATCCATGCACACGTCAATCCATAGCCAACGAGAGCGGAGCATGAACTCACAAAACCAAGAACTCAGCTTGAATCACGAAAGATTGAGACATGACACGTTGGCACCGCCGCATTCACAGCCTTGTGAGTTCATATGCGCACGAAAACCACGAACTATACTATACTTTGCTGAAAGTTTCTCAAGCTGGTGCCCAATTCCATGAAGGAGTCAAGCCTTATATCCCAAGCGGGGGGAACTGAACCTGACACTTAGCTACCGAACTAAAAAACTCTTGCTTGGTAAAATAAACTCAAGGTAGCCCCTTGGACTTTCTTGCCAAGGCCATCCCTTTATCCCCATCGTGCAAACTTTTTAGCTAGGCTTTCCAAATCTCATCCACGTCGTCTGCATGGAAGGAACAGACCTCAGCAGAAAAAATGATGTTGGATCCTGACGACGGATTGTTTCAAGGACCATTGCGCAGCTTCTATGAGTATAAGGAGCCCGCATGCACATCAGCTGGTGATGAAGCCTGGCTCCCGTGTCGTGAGGCTATCAGGACATGCAAAGAACTAACTTGTCAACGTGTCCTTTGAATGAAAGCGTTTGCAAAAATCACCAAGCGACCAAGCGCAGCAGTGATTGACTGATAGTAGTCCCCCAAAATAGAGAATACGACAAACATCAGTGATTTACAAGAATTGTCAGTGTGAAAGGTGTGCAGTGTCTTGCAGAACTAGCTTTCTCTACTTCCCCTTTGCTACTGGAAGGTCTTGCCGCTTGCCTACAAGATCTTCGGTTTGGCTTTTACAACGAACACATCTGCAAAAACACCGCCAGTTCAACCGCTTCACCAGATTACGCTGCTCGCTCACAGAATCAGGTCTCCAAAGTGTCCCATTGCAATGCAGCTCAGCAGCATTGCTGTACAACGCATCGTACATCTCAACAAAACCATCGACCCCGTTGATGTGCTTGACCTGAACAGAATTCTCAAACAAAAACTCTAAATAAGCCCACCCCTTCGGCCGAAGGAAGTCTGGACAGCCTTTCAAAAACCAAGATGCTGTGATAATCTTCTTCATCCTCTCAATAAAGGCCTGTGCAGTTTTTAAAAAGATGCCTCAAAGAGACTACTCAAAGTCACAGCCTTCACTCCATGCCTGGTAGGAGTACTTCAGCTTCTCATTCCGTCCGGTCTTGGTGACCTGCGGCAGTGCGGCAAAAGTGTTACTTGAAAAGTATCGCTTCCCGCCACCTCTGCCACCAACCGACGGCGCTCCCTCCAGGAAGACTCATCGAACAAGACTTCTCTAGCTCGTTTTTTCAAAGAGTTGATCCTGCACATCAAGCCATCAGCTAGTTCAAGCATCTGATTCCTTTCAAGCTTCTGAGCCACAGTGTCAAAGAATCCTTCATCTTCTTCTGGAAAACAGCTGGTCCAACCACCTGAGCTTTCCAGAAGGGTCTAAGCAGTTCGTAGTATTGTTTGTTAGCACTGACTGCGCGACCATATTATACATCAAGTTTGTTCCCATCCTGCAGACGAAAGCGCTGGCGTGGTCAGGGGGCTTAAGGAGCACAGTAGTAATGGTGCATATTACTACTATGTATGATAGCATATAATATGACATTCTGATCGAGCAAACTGTTCAAAGAAAGGCTAGGTGCTAGCTTAGGCTTCTTTTGTTTGGAACATCTGGTCTTTCAGTGTTTGGCGTCTTGCTGTTGGCTGTTGGCAAGACTACTGAACACTAGAAGCATGCAGCACATGCGGCGCCATAAATCTCTACAACACACACATTCATCACTGCTAGGTGCCGCAAATACAATGCCAAACCTCCTCAGTCCTCAAGGTGATCTGCTGTCTGAGCTCCCCGTCGCATTTGAAGTCCATGTAGACCTTATCGTGATCCGCATTTGCATCGATTGGTTATTTGGAGTCGAGTCAGAATTCTGTGACAGCAACTAAGTACTGCACTACCGTATGGTTGTTCGGCAAAGATGCCACGTTGTCATACGAAAACACCTGCAAGGGTTTGCACAACCTTTCCCTGCACTTGCATGGATGCACTATGATGAAATAGAATGGAGTTCATGCGTAATCACTGAATGCGTAGATTGCACCCATGGATTCACGCCTCATGGAACAAGTCAGTTGAACGGGCAAAGTCGAGATGATCCTGCCAACATGGTCGTGCTGTCACAATTCACGAAACCCGTCTGATCCCATTGAACTTGTGTGTACGGCTGTTGGAGCTACTGAGATATCCACCGGCAGTAACTGATTTCTGGATTCCAAGCAGCACTGATATTTTGTCCTGCTTCTCCCCAAGATCGCTGGAGACTCAGGGTCATTGTTAAGGAAACATATTGAGATAGGCACCGGCACAAGCCCTCTCTCACCTCTGCCCCGAGTTCAAAACGAAGTGATATTTAAGATATATATATAGTAATATATATATATTATATACAGTATATGTATATATAATAAATATATATATATACATAAGTTCGAATAATCTCAACGCCAAAGAAACGGCCACACTTACTATGAGTGGTACGAACTCAACACCTTTCCTGCCACAAGAAGAACTGATTTTCAGTGCCTTGGAGGTGAGGCCGAAGACGTACCTCGACTCAAGGAACTCGAAACACAAATGTGTTCTTTTGCGCGTGTTTTTAAGAGACTCCCCAAGCAGTGTCGTCACACTAGGGGTTCTTACGGTAGTGGTTAAGTGGCGGTGCTTAATCGAGGTGTTGCATCGGGGCGTCCAGCGAATTCGTTGCTACTTACAGTGCATTCATGCCTTTCGAAATCCTCGAAGTGCACTTCGACTGCGCAGGCTCACAAAATCTGGGTGGCCGGAGCGGGTGCTTGTCGTGACTGCGCTCTTGTTGCGGATCGTGGTCACTTTTCGTGGCAGACCTCGTGCTTTGGTGGTCCACAGTCGACTTTTCGTGACAGGTACAGTACAAGGGATTGGAGCGGTGTTACTTCGATGTGTAGATTTCGTGGCAGGCGCAGTACTGTGTGGACCTTGAAGTGCAGACTTCATGGCAGGTGCAGTACTTTGTGGACCTTGAAGTGCACTTTTCGTGGCAGGTGCAGTATTTTGTCGACCTTGAAGTGCACACTTTGTGGCAGGTGCAGTACTTTGTGGACCTTGAAGTGCAGATTTCGTGGCAGGCACTGTACTTTGTGGATTTTGAACTGCACCACCACCACCACCACCACCACCACCAGCACCAGCACCAGCACCACGATCTCCACCTTCATCACCACCATCACCTCTCTGGACCCCAATGCGTCTAGATCTTTAGACTTTCTGCTGCTACACCTCTAGACCTCACACACACTGTTTGGGGTCTCTTGCCGGGATAATGGAATAGAATGGAATAGATCGAGTGTTCAAGGCCTTTCCTGAGGTTTCTTAAAATAAACAGAATTAAAGAAGCTTCATATAATTCTATTCCTGAAGTTTCTTATAATGGATAGACGGAATAGAAAGAGCAAATTGGATGATATGGCTACACAGCATTTCTCCGCTGTCGCCTCATGTCTCGCATTCGCAAGCAGAAGGCGAGGGCCAGGGCTGTCTTCGCAGATGCACAGGAGATGATTACACAGTTGATCATCCTGGCAGGAGCTGGCAGGATACACAAGCTACAAACAAGGGCTCAACGGCACTCAAGGTGTCTTGCACTCAATTCAGATGGGAGGCCCTGTATCCACCAGCAATTGTTCGTCCATGTAGTAGGCCATCGTGTAGATCTCCTGTGATGAAAAACTGATTCAATATGATTCAATTTCCGTCGCTTCCTTCCCGCCCCCTGCCTTGGTGCAAATGATCCAGTCCTGCATGCTTGAAACTCTATTAATGTGTTTTTGCCTTGCCGCCCTCCTTACTTAATTAAGTAGGCGCCTACTCGATTAAGTAAGGGAGTAAACACGCTACTAGCAATAGGCAGCTCCCAGCCAGAACACAGGATAGTTCAGGCTTCTTCAAGGAAGCTCCAACCCGCCTGAGGGCGGAGGGAGTTTCCTTGAAGAAGTGCACTTATGATTTGGTTCCTAGATTTTTTGGGAAGCTTAACCTTGGCATTCTAGTATATAGTTCGCATTGCCTCCAAGTGTGGTTCCATGCAGTCAGATACCACCTTCAAGGCCAAGGCAGTCACTTACATCATTTCAGGAAGCTGGAAGTCTGCACTAATTACTTGCACACAACAGCTTGAGCAACTGCTGCTCCAGGGCTGATGCCTCCATTTCCTGAAAGCGACGGAGGTTGAAGGGCACCCCCTCCATGGCAAGTTCGACCTCAGATAAGCTTTGAAGAGTGGAAACTAGGGAATCAAATGAAAGCCTGGTGCAGTTGCTGCTCTGATCTCTGATTGGAGGATACCGTACCCAGTACCTACCGACACTCGCTTACCAGGACCTTCGCCAGTTAGGGCACCCAGCACAAGATGGCTCGTCCTTTTTGCCAGGAATGGTGCCACCTTCAAAAAGCTTCGAGCGGCAGAAGGGCCATTCTGAAGTGACTCTGGGAGCACTGCCGACTGTCTGAACCTGGTACCTGTCTAAGTCTCATTGCACAGCAGCAAAGCACAATCAAATCTTTCTTGAATGCCTGGCTGCTGGCAGGAGACCATAGAGCCTGGTTCCCACAGCAACCTGGCCAATGGGATGATTTGTTCGGACATGTCTTCAAGCAAGTCGTCTAGTGTGCGGCGGGCATAACTGCATCTAGTCAAACCCCGAAAGCTTCTTATATGGTTTTGTCGTCTTTTTCCGTGACACTGTCTCAAGCTCATCACCTGCTCACAGCTTGGCAAAGGGAAAGCCACGCCAAGACACGGGGTGAAACTCTACTGCTCACTCATAGCGCGCAAGGGTTCCAGATCGGCTCACAGGGCTATAGTAGCTATAGCAAGAAACCATTCTGATGTCATGTTTTGGAACAACATTAGTTTTATGAAATTGAACCAAGTGGATTCCAGTTACGCCACCCGCTGCACCAGACACAAGCCCTGATGCGATGGCGTGATGTCACTCCACGCATGCCTGAAGCTTTGACAAGCTTTAAGTAGCTTTGCTCCAAGCGCTCGTTCACTGCAAGTACTCCACGTCTCAAAGCAATCAGCTCTGAGCCTCCTTGAAGTGCTGACTCTTAGCTGCCCGGGCCTTGTAGAAACTGGTGGATGCGAGAAGGAGCTGCAGAATTTGGTTCGACCACAACACAGCATTACGACAGTTGTCACAGTGTGTGTGTGTGTGTGATGTTGCCTTGTGGGTGGGATGAATGGCTGAAGCTGCCGGACCACTCCACTTACTGTATCTCCACTTAGGCCAAATGCAAACCTCTGACAAGTCAAAGTGTCCCACAATGCGTACTCTGCAGAAGACCGTCAAACCTACCCGAAGATGTGGCAACTTCAGCATACTTGAGGGGCATTCCTTTTGCAGGACCCAGCACCCTGAACAAACCATGACTAGGTATGCTTCATCATGCCCACACGGCATCGAAAAACCGCCGCTACTAGTAAGAGCAAAAACCCCTAGCATATTCTTTGAGTGTCGGAAGTGCCTCCTGAATTATTGGTGCAAACAGCCGGCGTTCTCGCATCTCGGCTCGAGAACAAAAGGCTAAAGGTGCGACGTTGGGTCCTGAAGTGCTGAGATCACAGGCCTCTGGCCTGACCCATCCAAGGTCGCCACAGGCCAATGCCCCCTGCAAGGAACCCATCACTGAGCTCAGAACTAATCACTCCATCGACGCAACTACACTGGGAGGCAAAGGTTGTTGCTGCTTGGCTTTAGTGTATTAGCTTTGTTCTGCGTAGAGTTTCGATCTTTGATCTTCATGAGTTCTCCCGGTGGGGATCCTAGAACAACGTCAGGTGCCGTAACGTGCCACGTGGACTCAGTCGGGTCTACGAGCCTGTATGAGAATCGACGAGCTCCAAGCTTTGTTTGATGCTGGCCAAAAAATGCAGTGACCGATCGCGGCAAGCTCAAACCAATCGACATGCCTGAATCCACCCAAAACAGCATGATCTAGGACCAGGAAATAAGAAAAAGATGCATCAGTCGCGCTGCTGACACCATGTGTACTTACAAGATCTTACAAGTAGCAGATTGCTTCATTGCCGTGAAAAAAAGCATGCAAAGGCAAATCTTGGATTTGGAACTGGGAACTGAACAAGCATACGGCAGCGTATGGCCTTGTCATGGGTTGACTCCATGACTGTGGCAAAGCCCCAACAGGCAGATCGGTACAAGTTCTCCTGATACATCCAAGTCATATACTGGCCATCGCTTCTAGGTTAAAGGCCATCGCTCTTAGGTTGGAGGCCATTTAGGTTGGAGGCCATTGCTACATCCAAGTCATTTACTGAGGTGTTCCACCAAAGACGCACTCAAGGAGTCCACCCTTCCCAACAATCAACCAACTATGACACGGAGTCCTCGGAAGCTTTGTAAAAATTGTGATATGCACTGAAGGTCCGGGTGAAGCCTCTCGAAAAGTATTGCTCTGCAAAGGTCTCAGTCGCAGTTCATGCTCACGTCGTGCCTTTCATCAAATATCCCAAGGCCATGTGACTGAAGGCAAACTTCTCCACCTGCGTGCATGTTCTGTCTTCGCGGCTAAAAGCAACCGCCTTGAATAGGCAAGTCCAATCACATCTTGCTTCTTGTGCGTGTGTCAGTACTGGCCAACGTGTTCTTCCTTGCGTTTCAGGACAAACGCGACTGCATAGCAAGCATAGGGCAAAGGCTCTTAGGGGCAATGTGTCGCCACAGAAAAAGAAGAAGCATCTATATATACCATTTTGTGTGGTTCGAAACTGCTCTGACAGCTACAATATCTGAATACATAGAAAAGGACAAGGAGTTCGCGAGAAACTACGGCTATTCTGGATCTCACTGAACAGTGTCTCAAAGTCGAGTCACTTTTAGCAGAACTTCTCCTTGGTCCAAGTCCGGCACCTCGCGGGAAATTCAACACCAGTTGCATTATCCTTGCTTCCTCTTTCTTGGACGATGTATCAAGACTTAGGTTTGAATCAACTTCAAGCTCAAAAGCAAGAAGAGCTTTTCCCCGTGTGCCCGGATCCATTGTCTTTGCCAGCATCGAAGCAGCACCCCAAAAGCTTGCACCACCCGGCTTCAAGTACATATTCCTATGGTGTCGCGGTGACTTTGTTCTCATGTTTCATGATTTTGAAGCTGGGCAGCAACTGCACGAATCAAGCGAATAGAAGGCTGCGCCGACGCGACCTCACTATACACTTTACACATCCCTACAAAAACTCTGCAGTTCTACAGCCCTGAAGATGGAGATTCCGGGCATTCCCAGATGTCCAGACTGAAGCTTTGGTGAAACTGAAGTCATCTCAAAAGGCGACTTGCTTTGTACCCAAGCCTTGAGCCTTACATGCAACAAGGCCACGGCCGGCTCATCCTGCGGGTAGCCTCAGGACCCAGCTTGCCAAGACAAATGAAATGGACATATTCTGATCCATTCAACTATCAACTATCAAATTATTCGGGTCATCCTATCAAGACAGTTTACCTATGACAATGATATGGAGCTAACACTTAGAAATGCAACTGCGCTGCGGAAGATTCGGTGAAGGCTCTGACAAAAGGTAGCCTAGAGACACAGTGACAAAAACACATTGTACAAGTCAAACTCTGCTACAAAACAAACACGTCCACCAAACCATCAGAATGGCACCTTCAGTAGCACAATCCGACAGGGTTCGATGCCCCATATCATTGGCAAGTTCGATCAACGCCTTGAAGTCACCCATTTCAACACACATGCACTGTCTTGAAGTTTGTCACTGCCAACGCAAGACCACTCGAAAGACCCACTTCACAATGAAAGACACAGAAGTGTTCGATGGTTTATGATGGTTTTAGTTATTTTTCTGCGCGAAGAAAGGCTGAAGTCCAGGCTGATGGTGCGCCCTTCAAACGAGCTACCGCCGGATGCGAGGCGATTAATTTGAGGACCTTCCAGGCAGGAAAAATGAAACATCCTTTAAAACTTGAATCTATGTTTCTTCTATGGTTCTTGCTGTTTTTAGCACGCTCTTACTTGATTAAGTAGGCACCGACTCAATGTCAATTAAGTAAGTGAATAAGCTACTAGTAACTGGAGGCAGGATAGCTCACGCTTCTTCAAGAAGGGGAGCTTCCTTGAAAAAGGTGCTCGCAATAATGAGTTGGTTCCTAGGTTTTTAGGGAAACTTAACTTTGGTCAGTTTTTTACACATAGAAGGTAAGGGTAAGGGCGCCTTCAAGAAGATCCCTTTAACTTCAGGGCCTTATTAAAGGGGCCCTTACATGCCCTTACCTTCTTTTTTCTCGTGTTTGGAAAATTCAATGAACTTAGCAACTGGATGCAACTGGCACAAAAGCAGCTGTGGGTGGCAGCCTTGCCTCTTTCTCAGTATCTTTTTGGAGAACGACGGGCGCGTTTTCATCTGCCACCTCAAACAAGTTGGCAAATACTCGATCTCTCTGCTGTGCAGATTCACAATTAACACTTGATCCAAAGACTTGCGGCCATTGGGGGATGGCTTTCTGTTTTCAACTGCTGCGTCCGGCTTTGGCAGTGGTCGTCTGACTTTCGGAGAGCACCTCAAAGCGGAAGATGTGAAGTTGTGTCATGTTGTCTCTTGCTCTTGAAGGCAACTCTTTTCAGCAATTTGCTCTCATCAATGAGTCGTGCTATGTCTGCCTCTTTCCATCTCAATGGCCGCTGTGAACGGCGAAGAAAAAGACGTGCTGCATCCTGAGACACATGTCATGTCACATGTCTTACAGAATTTGTGCAGTCGTGTTTTTGTGCAAAACTGCTCTGAGGCACAGTGGGCTGCAGGCCCCCCGAGCTCGTAGTGCACGACCTATGTACCGTCATCCATTCCCCAAGACAAGCGGAGTAATGGCCATGGGCACTTTGGATGTTACAGATACCAAACAAAAAAGCACTGTTTTTAGGAGCAAGGACGCTACTAGTGGCTCCTGGCCGTACTACTAGGAACAAGGGCCTTACTACCAGGAACAAGAAGCTACTAGAAACAAGAATTAGAATTAGGGGAGAGGCCGGTCCTAGAAGGTGTTAGCTTACATGTAAGCCGAGTAAGCAAGTAGCTAAGCTGCTAAAGGAAGCTACTAGCTACCCGACGGAAAGCTTAGGCTTCAAGGAAGCTCCCCCGCCTCAGGGCGGGGGGGAGCTTCCTCATTTGGTTCCTAGATTTGGGGGAAACGTATCTGATTAGGCCGCCAATGCAAAACAACAAAGCTTCTGGTATACCTTGGTACATTCCGCTGCTTTGCCACGCCTTGAATTGGCCACAGCCTGGGCCAAACACTCGGGACCTGTCACCATGTACTGTCAATACATAGTACATCATCGTTCATTAGATCTTTTCAATCTATGCAGTCCTCTCTCTAACCCCAAGTCATTTCAATTGATCAAATCACCTGTTAAGCTTTCATGTCCGGTGCTTGACAAGCCTGGAGCTGAATATCACACGTGCGGGGCAATGGCGTAGGAGCGTTGACAGTGCAGTCTGCATGTCAGCAGGCTGCCTTGACATCATGATTGATTAATTTCAAGAGATCACAGGCTTTCGCTGGATTGAGGCTACAAAATGCGAGTGCGAAAGACTTACTCTCCAAGCCTCTCCAAGACTTGATCACAGCCATGAATGATAAGAAGAATGTCACACCCACCTCAGCACAGCAAAAAAGACTGTCTGACCGCCCTAGCATGGATTGAAGCATTTAGCAGGCCGCTGTTGCGGGCAGAGACCGCGGACATCATAGATCCTGTTTCAGCGCTGCGACGGACTGATGGAAAACGAGTGAAAATGATCCAACTGATCGTCGGAGAGATAACAGCTGTTAGGATCCTCTGCTGGTTGAGCTCGGTGCCAGATCTGCTGCAGTAGTTCGCCTGGAGGGCATGAAATTGCTTGAACATCTTTAATGACTCGACCAAGCTTCGGCCCCCGCCTGTGCCATTGCAATGCGAGAAGACCGATGTCTTGGCACAAGGAGTCCAACAGCTCCTTCGGACTGGAAGCACTGGCGCACGACTGGCAGTCTGACATGTCCAAAACAAGCAGCTCTCCTCCATCGACAGGTCCTCGAGAATTTGCACTCGGACAATGAAATTTGATTTAATATGTACCATCAGAAACAAGAAATTGCAAATCTGGCTGTTGGTGTCCTGCTGTGCCTTCCGCAGAGTCCTGCACAGTCTGTGGCTGCTTTATCCAATCCCAACAGTTTTCTTCCCAGAACTTGACGCGCTTGAGTTTTCGGTGGCCTTCGAGGCAAGCACTTTCGCCGTGCACCACCCGACCTGATCACTCACAAAGCTGAATCAAAACAGCACCTATTGCACATATCAGCAACACCCAGGGAACCTTGGCTGGAAGCAACCTTTGCGTGCTGAGCCGAGCCAGTCCTGGGAAATGTTCGAATGGGCCCATCAGCACATAGACTGATAAATGAGTTGAGTTTGAGAAGGTAGGCCTCCTCTGCCAAGGCCAACTGCACCTTTGATGAGTGGGGCCAAAATTCCAATGTCTACAGGGAGGCAAAGAAAATTCACAGAAAAGGAAAGGAAGCCCTGTATTATTGCCAAGGTTCTGCCGATCGCACAGCCAAAAGCCATGATGTACAGTCCTACTGGCCACAAAATGTTGCTGGGGGATATACCAGAGGGGTAGTTTTGAAACGTGACAAATGGGAATGCCAGTGATGAAGAATGCTTTCTTTAAGATTTAAAGTGTTGGGTCCGTTGGGTCTTGAATGTATCAGATTGCACGTTGCCAACGACACCTTGATATCTGCTCCAATACGAACGCCAACACAGCGCATCTGCATGTGCAGTGCAGCTGTGCGATGAACCTCACGTTCTTGAGAAGACAAAGAGAAGACGATGTTACAATAAGTTTCCCGAAAACCTAGGAACCAAATCAATCATGTGAGGGCTTCTTCAAGGAAGCCTGAGCTCTTCTGCGTCCAAGCCTGGTTAGTAGCAGCCTACTAAATAGCTAGTACTATACTTACCTCTCTGTACTTTTACTTTTTTACTGCATCAGTTACCTACTCTTTAGCCACATCCATATGGCCAAACCCCGCCACGAAAATAAACAAGTGATATGTGTCTAAACTATCTTTCTTGAGAGCAGTCACTAGTGTCAAGTTCAAGACCTGAGGCCTTTAAGCGGAAGAAACGAAAAGGACATAACTTTGTTGAATGCAAACATGAAAAAGACATGGTTTTTTCTTTGTTGTGTGTCGCTATGAGTAGTGACTTCGAGTGGCATTCAAGCCCAAAGGACCCAAAGGACCTCGGGACCTAAACTCTTTATTATTTATTGTTGAGATTTTCTCATAGGTCTTGTTTTAATGGGACCAATCAGTAGCAACCAAGGACAGGGCCGCATCCAAGAGAGCAGCCTTTCCAAGGCCCACTATTGGGCCACGATTGCCTGTTATGCAGGGAACTGGTAGGATTCGTCGGCAAACACGGAGCAAAGGCAAAGGAGTATGGCAACGTTTTCAGTGTTTTGCTCTTGGAGTGGAACAGCAGGATGCGTGCTGTTTCAAAGAATGCGGGGGTGACAGACTGCAACGAGACGGCGAGTGCTGAGGTGTTGCAAAATAGACCTCAAATTCTTCAGCTGAAAAAGTATCAAAGTCTCAAGTCTCTTCAATCCCAAAGTCCCCTCGCTATTAGCCATCGCTAGTAGGTTGGAGGCCATCGCTATTAGGTTGGAGGCCATCGCTATTAAGCAGGCCATCGCTAGTAAGTTGGAGCCCATCGCTAATGGGTTGGAGGCTATCGCTATTAGGTTGGAGGCCATCGCTATTAGGTTGGAAGCTATCGGGTTAAGTAGTCTCTCAAAGTCTCAAATCTCTTCAATCCCAAAGTCCCCTCGCTATTAGGTTGGAGGCCA